TGTGTGTGTGTGTGTGTGTGTGTGTGTGTGTGTGTGTGTGTGTGTGTGTGTGTGTGTGTGTGTGTGCTTGTAAACCCTCCTAAATGGGGACCGAAGTCCGCTACACTCACGCAAGGTGAGGACCGTTTTCAAGGTGGGGACCGAAAATCGGTCCTCATTTTGCAGACCATTGGAAAACGCTAATTTCGTCCAGATATTGGTCTGGTATCAATCCCTTAGAGGTCCCGACGTGGTAGGTTTTGTCCGTCAAGTGCATGTTTCGTGGTCACGTGACTTAGTCGACTTACACAAATCCGCCGGAGAAGTTTCTCGCCTTTCGACTGAAATGTGTGACGTCATCCTTGAATAGAGGTGCGCTAATCTTGTCACCTTGAACACACCACGTAGTGTTGATTTCACACGACAGAATTGACTGAAGTAACTAAATGATAAACAATAGTCATTTTCTATGCCCTAAGACGTTTAATAATGACCAAACATTAACAATCATATAGTTTGGCGGGGCACATGCGTAGTACCCATCACTACTGATGTTATGGCAGACCTTGGCCGCGAGTTGGAATGCCGTGGAGGTGTCGCGTCGCTCGGTTGGTGTCGCGTCGCGCGATCAAAGGGCGTGGGATATTACTGCGTGGTACTTGGTGGTGTTGCTGTGGGCTGTCACGATATGGTAAGTACTGCATGATGTTCTGTACTGGAAGCTCTGTTTTTTAAGTGCATGAAGTTTCTCTTACTCGGGTGCACCGCAGTGTCAGGGACAGGGGAAATTCTTTCAACTTGATGGCGGTGCGGCATTTTTACCGTTGAAACCTCTGTAGATATGAAGGAGGAAGGGGGCAAGCATTAGGTGCGCAGCGTTATGTGGGGCAATGCAAATTCTTCCAACTTGGTGGTTGCGTGGCCGTCTTAGCGTTGCATCCCGTGTAATTGTCGACGGGAAGAGGGGGGGGGGGGAGGGATCAGCGTGCTTTTCACCTCATGTTCCTATTTACCCCTCAATGGGGTGCACCATTCTCACCTTACCTGCATGCACTGAGTGGGGGCGTAGGTACATAAGTGAGTAGGGGGGGGGGGCTTTGGGGGGGGGGGTGCCAAAACTTGTGAAATGATGAAGCCTAACCCAAAGATCATCAACAAACCAATTTCTCTCTGAATTTGGCGCCATTTCATTTCTTAGTTGACAGCTGTAGCTAGATTTCGGAGGGGGGGGGCCTAGAACCCCCCCCCCTTCCCTAACGGAATAGGAAACGTGAACCCTGATATCGAGTAGTGATGGCAGGAAACCTTAAAGCCTTTCAACCAGCAGATCAACACACGAGATGTGAACAGCCATGCTTTTTGGAAGCTGCAATTAATGCGTGCTTGATCACTTCAGAATGAATGCAACTTTGACCAGCATGGCCATAAAAGCATAGTGCTCTGCGGACTGATCTGCTTGTGACCCTCCACGTCATGGGGAGCAAATAGCTTTTCCTGCCTGCTCACACCACGTCATGTCAGAATGATTTGTCAGTTAATAAAACATCAAAACTCAACTTTTCGACCAATGCATTCCTTGGACCCTTTCACAGCGGCTTGATGTAGCAGTCTTGTGTAACCTGGAGGCGCAATTCTTTTGTTTTTATTTCAGTTTCCATGAGATAACACAATAGATACTAGGTACCTGGCCCAACTCATTAATCTCATAATGAACTCATAATGAAAGTTTTCATTATGAACTCGTAATGAACTCAACTCAAAATGAAACAGCTCAAAATGAAAATGTGCATATTGCATATGCTGTCCACTCTCTATGTTCTCAATTTCAGGCAAAACATAGTTCAACCTACCATAATTTGTGGACTGTAGTGATTTGTGGTAGTGCTGGGGAGCAGCTAAATCAAGGACGTAGCCTGCAAAGGAAGTAGCAAAATAAGACGAGAATGTGTCCACTCTGTTAGATAAATCACAAACTGAAAGCTTAACGTGTACCTTTTGACCAATAGAGAGCAGTAGGGGGCGCAGCCTGAGGTCTTATAAGAGGGGGGGGGGGCACAGGATTGACAGAGGACACCCTGATAGTAAAATCCCCCCCTCCAAATCGCCTCATATGACCCATTTATTACTGAAGACATGTTTTCTTATTGAGCTCAGACCAACACGGAGCTGATTGTTCGTTGTTCGCGATCTCTGACCGAAATAGAGGAGTTTTCTGTCTCGGGTCCCCATCGGTGCCAAAGATCATCTTACTGACATTTGAGATCACGACCCTACGAGCTTAATGTGACCTACAGCCAGCCCTTCGGACTCTTCCAATCTTATATTAGTATTTGGCCTCTTATATTAGTCTTTGGTCCATATTTGGTCTCGAGAGACCCTTCGGCCCCTCTTTGGGCCCCCTCAAAATCGCTCTGACTCGGGGCTACTTGCCGCCACAGTTCGACACGGTGGCCCCTAACCGACACAGAAGCCCTTCATTGTACCAGGGACCCCGAACATTACAAATCGCGAGCCCCGGCCTTGTTTCTGCTTGGGAAATGGGTCTCAATGGCTCAGACGGACATGGAGCCGACTGTTCGGTGTTCGTGGTCTCGGGCCGATTGTCTCAGGGGGGGGGGGGGGGGGTGATCCTGAAACGGTGCAAGGGGACCTCTGAATAGTATTTTAAGTCACGACCCTGCGGGCCGCGATTCTTTACGTGACCTACAGTCAGTTCTTTAGACCCTTATACCCTCCAAACGGGCCTGTGATCGTCGGTTCCGGTGTGCTGCTCAAAAGTGCTGTTCAAAAGTTGAAGAAAGGTATACATTTAATCTTGGGCGTTTTTGGTTCATCCTTAGCACGCATTAGCAGTTATGAAAATTCAACAGACAGATGCGAATATTTCACCACCTTGCCAAAAATTATTGATGCTTTGAATGGTCATTCTTTCCGCATGTCAATTTACAAAATTGTAAAATAAACGGCCTAGACTGCTTAGCAAGCGCGCGGGTTGATCGAGTAAAACATTTTAAAACGCCTTCTGTTTCATACTTAGTAAGCCTCTGGCTTTCGTTCGGGCTGGTCAGGTGTTACCGATATGACATAACCGGTGTACTGGCCCTAAACACTAGGGTCAGTGGGTCTGATTGGCATGAAAACAAACATGACACTATTTTGGTGGTGGGTTCAGGGTATACGCGACAAGCAATACTTAGCAAGTGCAAGCAATGTGGGATACGTCTCATCATTTTATTACCGTCCCCTACTGATCTTTAAGAAATTCATTCATTTGCCATTCCTCTTAAATCTGTATTATTTGCTCTTGCGATTTGGAGACCTGCGATGAATAAAGTGTTCCCTTCTAATACCAACCCCTTGACCAAGTGATGTAATGCTAGCTTGTGATGAAAAGTCGCATTCACTTCATGGAAGAAAGCATGGCGGCCAAAAAGGTGGCATTCCAGGAACTGATAGATATCTGGTAAACAGACTTGATGATATTGTATTCATGCATTGTATGTGTGAACAGACACGTGAACAGGGTTGACGGGTCTTGCGTGATTGATCTTTTGTAATCTTGACGTGCGTCTCGCATATGTCTGGATTACATGTTTTTGCAGGGGTCTGGTTTCCTCTCCCGGTGGACGACTTTAGCTCCCCACCGACTTGTGATGCAGGCAATCCCAATTCAGTGGTCAGCCTTCTCTTCTCAGTTTATGGCGTCTGCCCTGGCAGGAAGACTGGACCAGGCAGCGAATCGAACCCCGTACGTCTTGTTTCCTATACGCGCGGCTTAACGTATGTTTCTCTACCTGTTTGGTACAGTCAAAAGGCAACCAACATGTGTTGTGTTTTACAAATGCTCGTGCTTACTGTTACAGGCACCAATCATACCGCTTGAAGTTATTCAGCATACCACTAGCAAAGATGGCATGTTTATACTGGTGAAGCATAGTGGCTTCAGGTAAGAGCATACATTGTCCCAATCTCCTCGAGCTAACAAGTGATCCTTGTTGGTAGGACCTCAGTG